GAAATGGAATCTGCAGTAGCCTAATATTGGGTTGAATTCTATTTTACCATGGGTTTCTGCTATATTTCAGTAGCTGTTCAACAGACAAAGCATCTTCTTAGAAATAAATTAAGAGATAAAATCCACAGAAAACAATTTTTCACATGGGAAAATTCCAAGAAAGGTATTTGTTCTTCCTTCATGAGGAACTGAAAATGATAGGAGCTGCTATGTTTATTCAGATATATTTAAAATAAACAAAAAGCAATAATTGCAAGACAATTTATGCCAGACTTTGAAAAATTGCTGTCTTTATTTGCTTTGGAACAGGCTTTATTTGCTTCAGAACAGGCTGTTCTTCTTTCCAATTGTTAATTGCTACGAAGAGCAAGTTTCCATACTTCAATTAAGCATTTGAAATATGCTAATTTGTAAATGAGCAACAGCTATAATGAGATTCTAAATAACTACATCAAAGATCTGATCAAGCATTCCATTCTTGATAGATATTCCAAAAGCACCAGGTAATTTATATGAAAGTGCAATTACAACTTTCATTATACCATCTATAATGGTCAGCTTTATCGCTAACTACACATTAGCTTCCTGGAGAATTTTGGCAAATACTGTGATTGTATCATTTTGAAATAGTGTACACCCAATTTGTATATCTAGCAAAGCTTTGTTGATTCCAAGCAAGACCCCAGTGTTATCCTAGATCAGGGGTGTCAAACTGCCGGCCCGTGGGCTGGTTTCATCATACCGGAGCCGCGCCCACCCCATTGCCAGCAATGGCGAAAAAGCTCCAATACGTTGCACGATGTCACGTGACATCGCGAGTTTGACATGCCTGTCCTAGATAGCATTGCTTGTGTATGGATGTTCCTTTACATTTCATGACCAAGGCAAAAGAACTACAAGACTTCACATTCCTTTAATTCCATTTTTGAAGATAATTTTGCTCTTTCGATAGCTATACCATGAATGTGTGACATAATTAGATTTGTGACCACCATCTGCCTGCCCACAATTTCTTAGATCCTATTGTTTTAATTGAATATTTTAATCTTTAGTGATCATGTCAAGATTTTGAAACTGGAAATGATACATAAGATTTTAAGCATGAGATGTTAAATAAATGCAATATACACAGAGTAATTAAAGCTGCTAAAATCCTGATTTATTGGAAAAACAAGATACATAATATACGATGTTCCTTTTCTGATCAGAAGCCACTTCACAAATAATTGAAGTCAGGTTGAGTGTTCTGATTCTTCTTTGTAGTATGGGATATCTCTAGTGCAGGTAGCACAGTCCAACCTTTGCTTCATCACCAAGTAGTTCAGTTGATTTTGAATATGCATAGTGGTGTTTACCACATCCCATAAACTGCATTTTCTAAGCTACTGTTGGAAGTGAAGCTGGAAGTTTAGCAAATGGGAGATCACAGGATTTCTTGGATATAATAAGGCAGCAAATATTTTAATGTTTCTTTGGTCTTTCTTGAAATGATCCTCTTCCTTTCTGCCCCTACATGGGGCCCTTCCAGGGAGAGGAGAGGGCTGTTTCTTCTAAGCACTGCTGATGGGCTCAGCCGTGTGGCTGGCCAGCTCCTTCGTCATGGCTTCCCTCAAAGCAGCCTGAACATCTGTGCAGCTGATACTGAAGGGTTGGGTTTTCTGGCTCAGGTCCTGCATTTCTGTGGTTATGTGATTGTACACATCTGTTAGTAAGGTTTTGACCAGCCCCTTGGTTTTTGCTTCAATGTAAGCCTTGAGCATCTGTCGGACCATCTTGGAGGCAAACAGCTTAGGGGAACTGAATCTCACCACCTTGCTGCTGACAGTGTTGCTGGCATACGCATGCTTGGCCCTATGTTCTAGATGAGAATGGGGTTTCTTCTGATTTCGAGTCCTCCGACTTTGCCAGGGGGATTTATATTTCTTCTGGAGCTGGATTCTCTTCACAGTTTTGGCCCTTCTTTTCACTTGCTGTTTGGCAGCCATTGTTCTTTTTTTATGTTATTGTTTTGGTCCAACTCTCATCAAGCTCCTGCCTTCAAATGTCACCAGCCCATTGTGAACAAGGCCATTTATAGCCAACATTATGCAAATGAAGGAATTAAATTGAAAGTGCTGATTGGACAGCATAAGACTTTGCTGTAACAAAGAAATCATTATCACTCCAGGTGTGGTTATGATCTGGGCGGTTATGAGGTCTTATGATGTCACAACTGAGTGATTCATAGCAATACTTAGTTCCAACTAAGTCAAATTAGCACCAAAATTAAAGGTATAAGTCACGAATTCAATTTTTTTAACTATCATACACATGCACACATTCACTCACATAGATATATCCAACAAAATATACTCCTCAAATAACCTATCACCAATATACACAACAGTAATTAATGCTGCTGAAATCCTGATTTATTGGAAAAACAAGATACATAATATACGATGTTCCTTTTCTGATCAGAAGCCACTTCACAAATAATTGAAGTCAGGTTGAGTGTTCTGATTCTTCTTTGTAGCATGGGATATCTCTAGTGCAGGCAGCGCAGTCCAACCTTTGCTTCATCACCAAGTAGTTCAGTTGATTTTGAATATGCACGGTGGTGTTTACCACATCCCACAAACTGCATTTTCTAAGCTACTGTTGGAAGTGAAGCTGGAAGTTTAGCAAATGGGAGATCACAGGATTTCTTGGATATAATAAGGCAGCAAATATTTTAACGTTTCTTTGGTCTTTCTTGAAATGATTCTCTTCCTTTCTGCCCCTACATGGGGCCCTTCCAGGGAGAGGAGAGGGCTGTTTCTTCTAAGCACTGCTGATGGGCTCAGCCGTGTGGCTGGCCAGCTCCTTCATCATGGCTTCCCTTTGTGCAGCTCATGCTGAAGGGTTGGGTTTCCTGACTCAGACCCTGCCCTTGTGTGGTTATGTCATTGTACACGTCTGTTAGTAAGGTTTTGGCCAGGTCTTCCTGGCAAGCCTTGAGCATCTGTCGGATCATCATGGAGGCAAACAGCTTAGGGGACCTGAATCTCCCCACCTTGCTTCTGACAGTGTTGGTGGCATACGCATGCTTGGCCCCATGTTCTAGATGAGAGTGGGGTTTCCTCTGATTTCGAGTCCTCCGACATTTCCAGATGTACTGACATTTCTTCCGGAGCTGGATTCTCTTCACAGTTTTTCTGTTTCTTTTCACTTGTTTAGCAACCAAATATATTCCTCAAGTAATCTACCACTATTACAAATCAATCAATATTTAAATAGATTAATGTTCCCATAATTCGCTCCAGAAGATAATTCATGGGACCTATGTTTTCTGTATCAGAAATCACTGAAGTCTTTAATACTATTTGAAATGTCAATGGAGATTCTCAGTCATCCAGGACATAGTTGTCCCGAAGGTGTTTTTTCAAAAAGCATCTGGACTTACTTTACTTTTTCTTGAAAATGTGAGCGTGCAAACAACCAAATGCCCACAAGGAATATAAATCCTTCCATTCTCTACCATGTAGACGCGGTTCCTCAATGGAACTGCATCTACATGGAGGGAAGTGTGTAGTGGGGTGCCCCAGGGCTCTATTCTGGGTCCAGTGCTCTTCAACATCTTCATCAATGATTTGGACGAGGGGATAGATGGGGAAATCATCAAATTTGCAGATGACACCAAGCTGGCAGGAATAGCCAACACTCCAGAAGACAGGCTTAGGATACAGGAGGATCTGGACAGACTTGAACACTGG